AAAAACAGTTGGTTGAACTTCACTACAGACACATTTCTGTGGATGATAAAACAACCAGGGGACCAGATCTGAATGTACCTCTCCCCATTAGCAACATCAAGTGCCTGTCAGTGTGAACTGGCTATGGCTACACAGGTTTGTGGTACTTGTGAGTGACAAAAGTGAGGGGATAAGGCAATACTCTTTAGCAATGTGACTACATCTTAGCAACGTGCACAGCACCGTGTGTACCCTTAAGAGTGTCCAACCTTGACTGTAGAAACTAAGCGGAGAAGGCGAAACACAGAAATATCAACGATCCCACTGCAAAAATCTGTCTTGACTTACAGTGCAAATATGCAAGATCTGTGCAAAATATCTGCTTTAACTGTGAAAGCGTCGCTGTTTACAGAACTTAAGCATTGATGTCACTGTATTCAGGTAATGTAAATACAGGCATTTTTAACATTTATTTTTATTTTACAGCTGCTTCATTACTATTTCAATTGTTTGTAACTCTAGTCAGAGGCTACAAGACAACAAAAACATGAAACAAGCATAAGCTTCTTTATTTTGAGAAGACTGATTTCTACACTTGCTTTCTTATTCACATCCCTGTCCTGTCCCTTTCGCTGTACTGGAACAGACTCTTATGTGGCCTTGCAGTGAACCAGACCTGGCTAATGATATGGTTGAAGAAAGCCAAATTTGATTAGTTTTTTGTCAGATTATTTTTCAGGCAGTTCCAGCTCCCTAGCTGAGTCCCCTACACAGCTACACAAATGTTTGTCCCAGCACAAAGAAAAAGGCAGTATGGAAGTAGGAGCAAACAACCAAAGAAGCTCACTATGGAAATTACCTTTGGCCTTAAACTAGCAGTAGAAGAATCTTAATGTGTTACTGGCACTGATACTGGAATAGTAACAAAGCAAATAAAAGAAAAAAACAGAATTAACCATTTAAAAATAATCTGTAAAATCCTGGAGGTTGTGTGATGTATGCCATCTTTGCCAAGGAATTGTAATGAGAACTTTCAGAACCTGAAATCTCTTTCCAGGAGGGATTATTTTGCACCATTTATTGCTTTTCTGCCCAATAAGGTCCCTTTTACCCACGTCTTCTAGGGTGTTTTGTTTCCCACAGTTTTGTTTTCACTATCCAGAAAACTGCATCTGGCCTCAGTGATTGCTAGAGAACATGCAAAATGCGTTAAGTGTGTTGCATGTGTGGAGAGATTGATCACACTTTAATTGTACATGAAAGGCTAATAAAGACCTTCAGTTTTCCAGTCCATCATTATAATTAGAGCTAACAACTCTTGCCCCAGAAAGATCCTTTTCTCCCCTACAAACAAGTCTGTTAAAATAAATAGCTTTCTGCCTGGAAGTGGATTGAGGTATCTTTGATAGCTTCATTTCACTAGTTTTTCCCTGATCATAGGTTCTGTCTGTTCAACAAACTGTACACACAGTATCAGCAGATATAGTCAATGCGTTCAGAGCATGTTTTACAAAGACAGGTGTGTTAAGCACCACTTCAGAAACACGATGGATTTTCAAACTTTTCCCCATTCAGATTCAGTTGGGTATCATTTGTTTGTGGAGTGGGGAAAGCAGCAATGGGCTGCTAGTTACAACTGAATGTGAAACTGGTTCACCACCAATTCAGTGGCAATCACTTACTAATGTGCACCTCAGTAAGGGGTAATTTTGGCAATACTACATTAGCCAGGGCAGACAAAAAAAAAAATAACAACACCAACAAAGGGAAGAAACAGAAATACACATTAGCACTTACCCAAGCTCTTGCTTCATGTCCTTCCTCTTATGCCTGCCATGCATTTTATGGAAAAGCCCCTGGATCCTTAACATCCAGTTTTTTCAGTGGTTGTTTTTTTCCCTCAGTTACTTCAATTTTGAGGCCTTAGTGAACAGTACATTTCCAAGACTGCCAGAGTACTACTAACAGGTGGATATTTTTATATTATAAAAACAAAGACTACAGCTCTTACACCCCCTGGTGGCAGTATGATTTATTTTTTGGCAGGAAAACACAAAACGAGTCTAAACTCTCCATAAGAAATCCTGGAGTTCTATTTTTAACTGGTTTTATAGCGATTACACAAATTACTGTAAAAAACTGAGAGAAAGGAAAATATTTTAAAATATTTAATCTTTTTTTTTAATCTTTTTTTTTTTTTTTTTTTTTTTTTTTCAGAGTAACTAAAGTTGCAAAGACTTGCAAAACCCATATGACTTTTGGACATTCCAAGTCTGAAGCTATGAGACTTATTAGAAAGACAGACTTAGAAGGAGTAGGCTAGTCAATTGGACTTACTCTGCAAAAATTCCCACATTACTTCTGAAATTCTTTCTCTTACTGAAAACATTACACTCTGCATTGACAGGAAACCAGCCTTCGGCCAAATGACCCAAAAGATGAATTGTTTTCCAAAACCAGAAGGGACAACTACGATCACCTACTCTGTTTTCTTATACAGCATTAATCAAGGGCACTTTCCAAGGAAGCTCTGGAATTTCTTCTCTATGTTCTTTTTAAGTGTCCAGGTGCTTAACTTTCTGTATCCATATTGAAAATTATTAGAATAAAGAAGTAGAGGAAACAAATCTGACATCTGTCAGAAATATCAGACTCTGATCTTCACTTTGACCATTTGTCCTGCGTGTAATTGCACAGAAATATATCTGGTTTACTAAGTGTCTATGGTAGTTGAACAACACATTCAAAAAACTGGCAAAGCACACAGAATACTCTTAACACTTGTAGTCACAGCATAATTAAATGCTTTCCCATCACTACACACAACAGCTTTCTATACTGCAGGCTGTGATTTCTCTGGGATAAGCGAGGATTTAAGATTACTTAGCAGAACACTTTGACAAGGCAGTGTCTGGTGAAATGCCTCCCTGTGAATCTTGGCATTTTGCAGATCATGCAACCAACAATCCATTTTCAAGAGTGGCACGTCTTGTAGTCTCTGCAAGCAAATGCAGATCTATAAACCTACTACCTCTCCAGTCCCCACTCAGGCCTTTTTGTACCTCTGAAAAGCAATGTGTGCAATTCCTGACATTTTTGACAGCTCAGTGTGAGCAGGAAGGCTACAAAAAGAAAACTAGTTCTCTATTTCTTATGAACAGTGTTGGCACCTAGCTTTAGATGTCTTCACAGAAAATAGTTGAGGTAGATCAGGAAAACAGACTCCTCGAGTTTTCAGCTAAATGAAGGGCATCTATTGGTAAGCTTGGGCTCCCTCATCCCTCTATATGAACTCTGCAGCTTTCTAGTGTAGGGACTGTCTTAATCCATATTTAAGAGATCTAAGTCTCTGATTTGGGCTCCTCAGGCACTGCTGTTTGCAGAAAATAATATTATTTTTCTTAGGCAACATATGCAACGTAAACAGAAAGACGCCCAAAGTAAATAGAAGAATATCCTACAATTGCTTTAAATGACATGTGATGTCATAACTAAGATAAGGGACTCCATCTGACATTATGATAGGAAGTCACTCGTATCTTTTAATTACAGTTTATTATGTAGATTACCATTTCAAATTATTCAGTTATTACCAATATTTTAAGAAATGCTATATTTTCCCAGATAAACAAATACATGGTTTTTTAAAAGATCTGCATGCTGATCTCACACACTCTCTTCCTTCCTCATGTTGTGCATAAAACTATGCTGTAAGTTAAGAATGAACAGCATAATTTTAACACTTCTACAGAAATATGAAGCTGAATTACATTTACTCAGGTCCATGTTGCTGTGCCACCTGGTGGCTACTAGTTTATAATGCAGACGAAAGCAAAAAAACCCACCAAAACCCAAATCCCTTTCTTTAACAGACCTTTTCTCCCCTTTTCCCTTTATAAAACTTAATCTTCTAAGTGTTTGGTGTTGTTTTTTTCTTTATTTCATCTGTGTTTTCGGGCAATAGAGCATCAATAAGAATGAGATAGGTATCATAAAAGTTAGTGCTTTTTTTGCCACTACAGGCTATTTGGGACATCAGGAAAAAGCTTGTATAGACAACAAACTACAGAAGACCTATGACCTTCTGGAAAGCCAGTCAAAGCCATTACATTTGAAAGCAGGATATCTTAGGGTGTCTATCCTTTTTTTACTGCAATGGCGTATTATGAAGGACAACACATACCTGTGTCACACAGGAAGAGCTAAATTAAAGGCATAAAAAAGTGACTTCTCCCTCCCCATCCCCTTTACCACTTTAGGTCTCTGTCCTTACAGAGCTCTGTGTCTAATACAGGGGTTTAAATAATAATTTTTACATAATGGCTGTTTTACTGCAGAAATCTACCTAAATTTCCTCACCGTCTCCCCTCCCCATCAGATGCCTTTCATTAGCACAGCAGAGACCCAGTAAGGCTACTGAAGCTCACATACTATTTTATTTCGACTGTACAGAAAGAATACACAAAAAATCCAACTAACCTCCTTATCTTCTGCAGTGAACAAAATTAGTGCAGAAAATAAACAAGATACCTAGTTTCTCTACTAGGTCTCATTAATCTTACATCTTTACTAACAATAAACTTTGCCTGTGGACCTCCATTAGCCTTCCTGTGGGCTGGAAATGGACAGACAAAATAATTAAGGGCTTACACCAAGATGGGTGGATGGGCTGATTAAGTGCTTTCCCCTTAACTTAACTGAGTTTGGGGTTGTTTGTTGTGGCTTTTTTTCCCATTATTATTGTTGCAGAGTCTATGACTGCAAGAATGCTTGGGGATATTAAAAGAGTATCAGTGGCACTTAATATTCTAAAAAGTGAGAAAAGAAAGACTATGGTTATTTGGATTGAAAATTATGAAATTCAAGATTTTTTCAATCTGGATATTTTTTAGAAACACCAACAATTTAAAACCACTGAAAAATACCTCAGAAGCAAAGACAGGACTAACACAAGAGGATATTTGCACTTCTACAGTGTGATACAATCTAGAATGTTTCTTCCTTCAAATGGATTGACTTACCCATTATCCAATCCATTCAGGCCAATTTTCTTTCCTATGTCACCTACCATCACACCTGGCATTGGCAGGAGAGTTTTTGTATCTCGAATCTGCATAGAAGTGGAATGAAACATTATTTCAGTTGTGGAACAATGAAAGTTATCAACTTCAACTTTTCAAACAATGAAGATATTCCCAACTTCTGTTACTAATGTTAAAGAAAGCTCTCTGCTTGTATTCAAGCACATAATCCTGCATATAACTTGTATTTACATATCCTCACATTCAGGACACAGATCCCTTAATGAAAATTACATTGGCAATACAACATCACTGTGTTAAACATGCCCTATCACTGTGATTGCTGTCATGAGACTAGCATTGAAATCTTGGTCAGGTGCACACAGACATAGTAGGAATCTACTTTAAATCAGATTTGAGATACTCCAATTTTGTAATAATTTCTGTTCAGTCTGCAAATAGTCCATTTTACTATGTACAACTTCTCCGTTGCATTGCCGTATTTTCTGATGCCTTTAATCGTATAAGCTGATCTCTGTGGTAGAAGCATGCTGCTTTCATGTAGATCAGCCTGTGGCACTGGCAGACTTAAATAATCTTAAACCTAACGCAAGATTTCAGGACTTCATTTAGCACAGGTTAGTTCTAACTACATAGGTAGCATTACAATTTGGAAGCTTCTCAGTTCTTTTTTGGTTTTCAGAATTTTTTGTAGAAAACTGGCTGTTTAACCATAACAGAATGAGTGAACATTTAAAAACAGTACAATTGTTATTACAATTGCAATAAATGTTGAAGGCATTAATTAAAGAATCTGCTGGTCAGATAAAAATAACAGCATAACAGAAAGTCTTGAACCCACTCTGCTCAAAAGGAAAGAAAAAAGATGAGCAATATTTCTACCCTACCTGTACAAGAAAGGAATGCAATCCTTGACATTGTCCATCAGGGGTATAGAGCTGGGCGTACACAACTGCATGAGTGGCATGTTTCCCCATATTACCAACCCAGAATTTTGCAGCTTCAAAGTCAGGAGTATTGATGATAAACTCCTGTAGCCAGAAAAGAAAGCAGCAAACTAAATTATAAATTATAACAATGAACATACAGCTATTTTATTTTCTTTTTTCATGTCCATGGTAATGTTTTGAAAGCATCCAGGGCTTCATTCTGTACTCTACTGCAACAGCTGAGACCTCTCTTAACTATACTCAACTTTGGAGAGAATACAAGTAGCTAGGAAAAAAATTAGGGATGAAAAAGTTCATTACTTCATCGTAAGCCTGAAATTCAGCCTTCATTGCTCATTTAAGCAGTTAAAAAAGTAAAGCAAAATTATAGACACAGAAGCATTTTCCTAGACCTTAAGTTAAGCTGATCTGTGTGCCCATGTGAGGGACTATGAGGGCTGTTTCAGCTGAGGGCTGGAACCTATGCAGGGACCACCTCCTCCTTCTCCAGCTCTCTGTGGAAAGGAAGTCTGGTTGACAGTGTGAAAAGCAGCACACTTCTCATTTTGGAAAACTGGGGGACCATGAGTACTGGGAATTCTGAATAATACATGTATCCCTGGAATTTAGATATAGCTTAGATTCCAAACAGTGTGCTTTCTAGATGTAAAAGAAATCTGAACCCAGAGCTTCCTGATCTTAAAATGCAGACTGAAATGCTGTCCTACTGAAGTATATAAAAACTTATGTTTCAAATCTATGATACTCATTTCTCATTCGTTTGAAGGTACTTCATGACATACAGACACGAGTGATATTGTTAGTTGACAGTAACTTTACATTACAGTACAATAAAACACTACAGTCTTTAGGGGACATGATGAGCCTACGTTCTTGGGACATTAAATAACACATTTTAATTCAACTTGACATAAACCAAGTATGTAAATGACAAGGTTCTATCAGCCTCATCTCTTAACTTATATTTTTTTTCTCCCTTAATTTCCATTCTCCAATGAATTCTATTAATTTACTGAAAATGTTAAGACAATGAATTTATTTCTGCAGCAGTGTTGATTAAAAATAATACATATTAATAGTAAGCAGTATCCTAACACAATCAGAAGCTAAATAAACTACTTGTTCAAATAAAACCCAGAAATTTCTGGATTTTTTGTAAATATTAATATACAATAGTTAACTATTTTACTTTCTTGTATTTTTTTCTGATGGAATGGAATAACTTTCCTCTTCTTTAAAACTATTCTGTATATTAAGTAGTCAAAAATGCTAATGCAGAAGACTTTTGTTCTGAAAACACTTGAAAGTTGTGTGGGAACATACTTATCTGTTGAAATCCCCATTAACTGTGTAATTTGCAGGAATCCATTTATTTTCCTTATAAAGAAATTGATATCTTTTCTTTTTTTTTTTTTACATTTGGAGTTGAACTTGATTCTTTCTTGTTAATCAAAGAAATCCTTGAACCGTTTTGCCCTGTTAGCAAATAACAGTGTCTTAATAGCATCAAACTTTATTCCTGTGCACAATGGACTAACCTGAGTGCTAGGATCAAACGTGGCAGTAGTTCGTATGCCTTTGGTGTTAGTTCCATGGCTGAGTTCAGTCAGGGCAAAGCATCCAAATATCTAAATAAGGAGATATAAGGCATGGTTGAAAAGGACTTTATTACAGCAATCAGAACAGTAACATTTTCAAATGACTGCAAATACAGCTCTTGGAAAGTAACCTGTAATTGCAAGAAACCAATCAAACACAGCCCTGGGCTGGGAAGGACATCATGGCTGCAGAAGGGTAACAGGTACTTTTTCCTTCTCTGATGGCTATCTCATCCAGGCAGGTACAGATTACTACATCCACCAACTAAGTTTTCAGCTGTCTAGGTTGGAAGAACTGTTGTGTGGTGAAAATGGGCAAGTTTGCTTGCATTACAAGCAGCTCTAGGAACTTCCAAAGTCAAGAGAAAAACTGAAGGAGGCTGTTAATTTTAAAAATAAGGAATAGCCTCCGTTACTGAAGGGGGTACCTTTATATCAGGTCAATGTATGCATACACTTGGTGTGGAGAACTGACCTCCAAAAGTATGTCTCTCACTGAAATTGACTGTAACAAAGACATGTAACAAAAAAAGTAAAATAAAAAAAGGAGAAACAGTGTCAATACTGCGGGGCAGGGGCCGCGACTTCATCCCGAGCTGCACATAGGCCTGCACAGCAAGGGATGCCCATAGAGACGGTCACTGTGGGTCGTTACTGTGCCCATTGCTGCTGCTGCTGGCACAGAGGAGAGAGAAGGAAAGAAAGCAACAGAGGAGAAGGAGAACCAAATAAAAGGAGCCGAGCTGAAAGCAGCCCTGGCTGAGACCACCACAGGCCGTGCCTTTTATTTTAAACACATAATGTGTGTGTGCTGTGTGTGTGTGGAGCTAGTAGTAATGGTAGTCAGGGCTCAATTCTTCACTCTGCTCCTTGTTCTTGTATTTTGTTATTTAGAATTATCTAGTAAAGAGATCAGAAATAAAGCAAGGCTGCAGCTAGTGCCACAGGTCTGAAAATACCCACTTCTCACAAGCTATTAAAAATAAATAAATTACCTCCATGTTATGAACCTGTTTCAGAATGTCTGCAAACCTCATATAAGCACTCAAAATTGAACCTCCGAATACCTGTAAAAATAGAAAATTATGAATTAAATCAGTGACCCCATGATGGAAAGCATAAACTGCACAAGCATAATTTTAATAGTGATGTCCATTCAGGAGGCTAGGGAAAACAGGTTGCAGTGTGGGAAACTGTTCTTTTCTTCCCCACATAAGTCTAAACACACAGTGAACTACTACTTGCACTACAGCTGAAGGAGGTAACTCAGGATGTGATCTGTCAAACATACATGGCCAGCTCATGCTGAGCTTCTTGTCCACCATCACCCCTTCAAGTCCTTCTGTTCTGGTTTGCTACTTTGCTGATGTGCTGGTTTGATCTGGTGGGGTTTTTGGTAGCAGGTAAGGGCCACAGGAGGGGCTCCGGTAAGAAGCTGAGAAGCTCCCCCTGCTCTAAAACTGGCCAAGGAGCCATCAGAGAGACAATAGATGTGCCTCAGTGATTAACATACAGAAGAATTCATATAATACCTGAGCAGAGAAGGAAGAGGGAGAAGTGTTGTGCTGGAGGAGAAGAGCAGTACTGGGGAAGGAGAGCAGTGCTGGTGGTTGGTGAGGAAGAAGGTGTCCTAGTAGAAGTTGCCCTGCAACCCATGGTGAGATGGCAGGCTGTCCCTCTGCACTCGTGGAGGAATGTGGGGGGAAGCAGGGATGGACTGTAAGGAATCCTTCCTGAGGAGGATGGTGCAGCAAGAACCACCAGCCTATGAACTGACTCTAAACCCCATCCCCTGTCCCCCTGTGCCACTGGAGGGAGGAGGGAGAGAAACCAGGAACAAAGGGATTTGGGCCCAGGAAGAAGGGAGGGGTGGGGTAAGAAATGCAAGCCCTGCTCTTTGTGTTGTCTGTGTCCTGTGGGTGTTTGATTAGTGTGAAATTAAATTATTTCTTCCCGCAGTTGAGTCTGTTTTGCCCGGGACCTTAATCGGTGAAGAACCCTCCTCGTCCTTTGACTCAACCCATGAGCTTTATCCTCCTCATCCCAGAGCGTGTGTGTGTGTGCGGTGGGAGTTGAGTGAGCAGCCATAGGGCTGCTCCTTCTGTTGTCATGTTGTCCCAAACCACAACACCTTCTCCTCAAGGCTGTTCTCAATCCATTCTTCACTCAGCCTGTATTTGTGCTCGGGATTGCCCCGACTCAGGTTCAGAACCTTACGCTTGGTCTTGCTGAACTTAATGAGATTGGCATTGGCCCACCTCTAAAACCTGTCAAGGTCTCTCTGGATGGCATCCCTTCCCTCCAGTGTGTCAACCTCATCACACACTTTGTTGTCAGGAAACTTGCTGAGGGTGCAATCACTGCCACTGTCCATGTTGCTGACAAACATGTTGAATAGCACTGGTCCGAGTACCAACCCTTGGGGAACAACACTTTGAAGGCTTTGCACACGTCCAGGCAGGTGACATCAGTTGCTCTTCCTTTGTCCACTGATGCCATGACCCCATTGTAGAAGGACACTAAATTAGTCAGGCAGGATTTGCCCTTTGTGAAGCTGTGTTGGCTGTCACAAATCACCCCTTTGTTTTCCACGTGCCTCAGCAGAGCCTTCAGGAGGACCTGCTCCATGATTTTGCTAGGCACAGAGGTGAGGCTGACTGGCCTGTAGTTCCCTGGGTCTTCCTTTTTTCTGTTCCTGAATATGAGAGTTATGTTCCCCTTTTCCAGTCAGTGGGAACTTCACCAGAATGCCAAGACTTTTCAAATATGATGGACAGTGGCTTTGCGACTTCATCAGCCAGTTCCTTCAGGAGCTGTGGATAAAACCCATCAGGTCCTATGGACTTGTGCACCTTCAGGTCCTTTAGATGGTCTCAGACCTGCTCTTCTCCTACAGTGGGGTGTAGTTCTTGCCTTTGACATCACTGGGGTGGTGTTACTAGAGTCCTCGTCAGCAAATACTGAGGCAAAATAGTCATTGAGTACCTCAGCCTCCTCTACATCCTGAATGACTAGGTCTCCCATTCCTTCTGAATGGGGCCCACTTCTTCCCTAGTCTTCCTCTTATTGCTGACATACCCGTAGAAACTGGTCTTGTTGTCCTTAACATCTCTGGCCAGATCAAATTCCTTCTGTGCTTTGGCCTTCCTTACCTGATCCCTTGCTTCTCTGATCACTTGTCTGTTCTTCTTCCAGGATACCCGTCCCTGCTTCCACTCTCTGTAAACCTTGTTTTTATATTTAACTGTGTCCAGGAGCTCCTTGCTCATCCATGAAGGCCTCCTGGCACTCCTGCCTGCCTTCCTCTTTGTTGGGACATACTGCTCCTGGGCATAAAGGAGTTGATCCTTGATTCCTCTAAACAGTTAAAATGAATTAAATTTTTTAAAAACAAAGGACTGGGAAAAGACATAGCTTTAACAAAACAGGCAGAAAGCAACAGAATTATGGTATTACAAGACACTTAAATTCAAATATACATCAGCATACCCTTTGAACTGTACTTACACCACAATGTAAGAAATACTGGAGAGACAGAGACCAATCGTACATTCCAATACAGGTCGACAGGTGACAGGTCTTTACTGGGTTCTCTATGATCTCTTGCTGAGTAAGAAACTCATACTCAAAAAGCCTTTTACAGCGCAGGAATGTCAGCTCCTGGTACTTCTCACGACACAAATCTTCTCCAGGATGATGTGCAAAAAGAGGATCACTTTCCAGAGCAGAGAAGATTCTGTTCTTGAGGGAAAAAGAACCTGACATAAGAATGCTAATCCAAAAGAATTAATAAAACAAATTAATATTCATTTAGGATAATCAAACTACGATCAGTTGATAGAAAATGTAAATGTAAAAAGTCAAAACTCGAGAGAATTAAAAACGACATTTAAAATGGTCTGTCATTATGTATGCAGTTCATGCAGCTACATTTTATGAAAGCTTCTTGGTCATGAAGTTGTAAGTGTAGGACTGATTCACTCAATGTAAGAGAACAATATCTACAATTTACTGTTATTTTTCATAGCAGCTTTGTTATTTCACTATATGAAGTTATTTCACTACATGAATTACACTTTCTAAAGTGAAATGGCACTCAACTGAGAATAAGATAAAACTCTAGGGGTTAATTCATAATATGTGATAATGGTAAAGCTATTAAGCTGCTACAGCTGCTGTTCCCAGATGAAAGCAGAAATATTCTCCATTTAATGCAATAAATAATGCATCATATGCGGCCTTTCAAAACGTGGATCCTTTAATTTGGGTTTTTTTTTTTCATTAGATGATAATACTATGGCATTTGTGACATAAGATATCTGTGTCTTCAAGATATCCACATCTTCTTACTTGTCTTTCATGTAATTTAGAAGAAAAAAATAAAAAAAGAAGAAAAAAAGAAAAAGCAGTGCCTTACGCAAAAACTTCTAAGAAAGTTTTTTAAAGTACCTTCCTCCTCTCTGAAGAGAATGACACAGTAAGAAGAAAGAAAACCAGGAGATTTCCTATTCTTTTCTTTGAAAGGTAGTGGCATTCACTTTCTGCATGAACATCACTATTCACCCAGGCCACTCTGAAACTCCCTCACACAAAAAGCATTTGTGTTTTTTCTATACTTTAAAGCATATCAGTCAGATGCAGGACATGGCATTTTTGTTTTCTCTAATTCACATTCTAAGCTTTTAATAAATATGGTGAACATTCAAGATTAGCTTAAATCCACGTAAACCTATACCACTTTCAAAAAAAACAGTTCTCCTCCTACATCTTTAAGCTGTGTATTCCCACACCACGGCTTGTGCTGCTATTCATCTCTTATTTTGGTGGGGTTAACTTTCAGCAAGGTAAGCATGCTAGTCTCTTCAACAGCAATGCCACATAAGCATTAATGCAAGTACAGAAGACCAGAGGAAATTATGTCAGGTTAAAGGAAGACAGAAATACTATGTTTGACAGTAGCATGAACTTAGCTGAGCTTAAGTGCATTGTGAAACCATGGGATGTATGATTCAATGCAGACAGTACAGTAAAGAAATATGGTAGTTCTTTTTCAGTTTGACATGAACACTGAAGTTCTGTAATGTAGCACCTGCTGGTCTCCTCTGTACTGATGTTAGTAATGAAATGAGCTTTATGAGAAAAGGAGGGTGCTTACAAGTTCAGCTCTATTCTTAAAATTGGATATGCAAAACCCATTTCTTCATGCTCTCTATCTACAGAGTATCATTAAATACTCTCCAAAATTAAAACATGCTTCCAATTCTTGCAAAGTTTACCTTAAAACGGATGATGTCTTCACCATATAAGAACATTGCCATCTCCTTCCAGTTGAAGGAAGCTTTCTGACGATATCTGCAAAGTGGTCCTTTAGGGAAATCTGGTAGCAAAGTATCCCATGAACTTTGGTTGCCAGTGGCTTCTTTCACATTCAGTGTGGATGCCATTGTTAGCTAAACTGCACCAAACAGGAAAATACACATCATTAACTGAAGAACCACAAATGTCTACTTTTTAATAACAAAAAGAAATCAAAGGAGTTGTTAATTAAATCCACAGCCTTGTTACAATGTATGAGTACAGAAGAGCTGAGCCCACTAAAAGCTTGCCTTTCCATTTTTCTAATTCAGTTGGCTTGGTAAAAGCTAAGAAAAAAAAGTGCCTTTGATAAAATGTAAAATAGTATTTGTTATTAACATATGAGCAAAACATTTAAAATAAGCAAAATATGAAACAGGACACCATTGGTTAATACTGCATAATAAGAAAGGGAGGATGAGAGAAAAGATCCAGGCAAGAAAATAACATGTCTTAAAGAGCATAATGGAATAATTGTTAACCTCACTTCTAATTTAAATGCAAAATAATAAAGTATTAAAGCACCCAAACATGCATACACAGTCCTGTTCAAGTGCAGGAGACACCTGTATTATCTCCACATTACTAATTAGCATTTAAACAACTTTTAACTAAATGGCATGTTGGTTCTAAGTTAAGGTTTGTTTTATACAAGTGAAGTGATGAGCTATTGTTCATGCATAAACACGAGACAGAAGATAGCAGAGAAACAGTAGGAACTCTACTATTATCCTCCACTGGTTGTATATATGAAAGAGTGAGTAATAAAACTTTAATTTCATATACAGCAATTGCAATAAACAAATTTTTATAAAATTGTGAACATTTGCATCTCTTTTGCCCAACTGAATGTTGTCCAGAACTGAGTTAGCTCCCACAGACCCACTTGGCTATGTGAGCACTATGCCACATCAGTATAACTGCCCAGGCCATAGGGTATAGCTCAGAAACAAGCAGGTGTCTTTACATGGGGGAAATATAAACAACTGTATCACAGAAGCACAGACTGGTTTGTGTTGGGAAGGACCTTAAAGATCATCTGGTTCCAATCCCCCTGTCATAGAGAGGGATGCCTCCCAGTAGACCAGATTGCTCGAAGCCCCATCCAACCTGGCCTTGAACATTTCCAGGGAAGGGGCATCCACAACTTCCCTAGACAACCTGTCCCAGCGTCTTACCACCCTCGTAGTGAAGATTTTTTTCCTGATGTCTAACCAAATTCTACCCTCTTCCAGTTTAAAGCCACTACCTGTTGTCCTATTACTACATGCATTTATAAAAAAGTTTTCATCTTGAAGGCACGCTTGAACCTTGCAGAGGAATCTTAATTTTGAATTCCAGCTTCCAGTGAGATTAAGGAGAATCACAGTTGTGGTCATATCCTCAAGTATGTTATAGCTTCACAGTTGCATGCCTAAATTAAAATCAAACTGATCCAAGTAAGTTTCAGCCATTCTTGTAACAAACATCCAAACATCTCTTTTCAGAGCCAACAGCTACAACATTGGTTTTATGATAGTAGTTTGCTGACAAACGTCTAAGATGAGTCACTCAAGTATTATATATTTTATATATATTATATATATATACTCTTTCTTTGCTTTGATATGGTGAACTTTCAGAATTGTGAAACAAACAATATCAATGTGTTGTCCATCACTAATATTGGCTTGAATAGAACAGGCGAATGGGACAGGCAGGAGTCCCTGTCTGCAATGGGTCTGTAAAGGTACAGATTAAACTTGCATAAATAAAGTAAAACTATCATAGTAGTGACTTCTACAAAACACATAGGACTACAGGGCTTTTCTTCTACATGTATGACGCAGTTCTGGAAAATCGCAAACACATACGTATGCCCTTTAGTAATTAGTATATTCCCATACTCAAGAATCAATTTAAAACAATATAAAGTATGAACTTTGCAACCATACTTCACTTTTCATAATTCACTTTTCCTTCTTCTTCCCTAAATCTCAAGTTTCCATTTGTTATGTGATAGCTTATAACGGTTTTTGTTTGTCTTCCTGCTAAATGTTTTTTTAATACCCTTCCTTCTGTGCTGAGTTGACCTTAGACCCTTGTGTATGTGATCAAAAGTACTAAGGCCCCATGAAGTCCGCTGGCATTTTGTTGTGCCTGTCTATGCGTCATGAAAGTGCACTGCAAAACTTGACAGAACCAGCAGGGGTTCATTATTAGTAGGTACAAGCACGCAGGTTTTGGAGAGAAGACGAATCTCTCTCTGTGTTAGAACCTGCCACAAAGAGTGAAGGCTTTTATGCCTCTCCTGCTTCCAGAATATGCCAGAGTGCCCTCTGCTGCTACCTGCCTATATCGCACCCAGCAGTTTCTCTCACCTCATGCAGATAGATGGCAGAGCCCTGCGTTATGCCCGTAAGGTGCAAAAATGATCGGGCAGGGTTCTGCTCATAGCTGGCGACGCTATGAGAAAGGGGACTGGCTGGAAGAAACAATTCTCAAAGGTACTGGGAGGACATCCAGGCCCAGAGCTGGCCAAGAGCTCAGTACAGACTAAGAACATAATAAAGTACAGAAACTACTAATTTGGCATTTCACTTTTTCCACCACTTCTCCCATCTTGATGTATCTCCTTGCTAAATTTCATCGTTCAACCTAGTCCTTTTAATGGACGTCATTCTCTAGTTCTCGACAGTACAGAGGCAGTAGAAGAGGACTGCAGGATAGTATTTCTCCACATGACTCCTAAATTGGTTTCTGGGAATAGGCAGTTCCAGTATTGAGCAACAGGTTTGGAAAGAAAGGAGCGTTTGGAGGGGTGGGAAGCCATTGAGAAAGTGTTTTTCAACCTTAAGTCAAATAAACATACATTACTCTTCTAACTGGAAAACAGGTACATCAGGCATAAGTTCAAGCCTTCTGGCTCAGAACAGCGAAAAATTTACATTTACATGCATTTGGTTATTGCATCTAACTTCATTTACATTGCTAATTAATGAGACTGCTTAAATAAGAAAACCTAAGTCTATTAAAAGAGATCCTGTACTTTTAATTACAATTTATCTACCTATCTTCACACAATGTTATAATGTAATTTGGCTCCAAGCAAACAGTTTGAAACTAATTAGGAAACCCAAATCAGGCAATTACAATAGGAAAGTAACAAAGGACTGCCCTAAAGAATAACCTCAGCATTAACGTCAGCGTCACCCTGACATTTGGAAATGTGCCTGCGGATGCAGCAGTAATAGGTAACACACGTTACTTTCAACTTCCCGAGAACTGCTGTGCTTTTACTGAGAAAAGCAGAGTTGAAAACTTTTTTATGTAGAAGGCGCTCCTGCTAATAATTCAAACTGAGGCCTGGACAACAACGGTATGTAGGTCAAGAGGGAACAGTTCAGTTTGCACTGTATTAATCAATTATCTTGCATAACCATAGCACAGCTCAAACTCCTGGCAGCATCTGGAATGACAATACTTTACCCACACTCTGTCAGAAATACCATTACTTGCATGCGCAGAGCTACTAGAAAATCAAATAAAAAGCTGGAAACAGCGGCTGCCTAGAGAAAGACCACAGGTCAAAGGCAGGCAAGTAAACACCACTTGCTGTCAGAGCCCTCTGTGGTTTCTCTGCACGGCCGCTATTCCAGCGGCCTCACTTCAGGCGGGGCCTCGCTTGTGTCGGAGGGAAAAGAAAAGAAAGGCTAGGTAATGTATCGGTTTTTACTTCAAAAAATGTACTGAGATTTGCTTCCTCGAAGACCCGGGCGACCTCCCAGCTTGTCAGTCAGCGTCCCCAGTTTTGAGCCCGCTTTCAGGAAGGCGGTCCCGCAGCCGCTGTCACGGCGGTACAGAACTTCTTCAGACAACAGCTGTGAAAACAGTAAAAACCTCCCGCCTAAGGCTGCTTCTGGGAGCAGCTGGTATCCCGTATTTCTCAGCAGTTTCTCACACGGCGGCTCCCAGAGGGGCTGACAGGAGCCCCGCGCGTCCCGCCCGCGGCGCCCTGAGGCGAACAGAACACCGCGCCCGGCCCAGGCCGCCCCGCCGCGGCCCGGCTGGCAGGACGGGGCACCCA